ACGTTACACATAATTTGCCTACATTTACGTTTCATTCATTAATCTCTTTAAATAACAAACGTCAGATAATAAAAAGTATGCTTTTATTTGTTACGTCTTGTTTATTTGCTATTATTATACGCGGTTTCCTGTGATGCATGGTGACCTACTTGATCGGAGTTTCGTAGTACAAGCGTAGCGCGTAGCCACCGCTAGCGCGGGAACTCGGCTGGCAAACTCACGCTCTGATTGGTCGCGGTTTTTCGTTAATATCTCGGTAACGAAGCCTCAGTTTACATTGTTGCTAAGGAAAAAGTTGTTCCAATTCACCCCCCGAGTGCCCCGTTTCCGGGTCGGAGGACATTTTTGGGACACCCTGTATACGACGCACGAGAGAGATACTCGATGTTGTAGAATCCGACTTACGCCTCGATAACACTGTTCAACAAATTTGAACTTTTCTTCGTTCTTGTAACCTCTAATAAACGTTTCTGGTAGATCTTTATGAGCTGATTACGAATCTGCAAACCGTTTCTTTCCAGCACGTCCAGTTTGTGAAAAAATCTTTTTTTTTAATTGCAAATTTTGAACTTTAGAGCTGTGTTGTGCTTTTACAGTACACCTGTATCAATTATGTCAACAAATGATAAATAAATCTTTTAAACAGCAGACTTTTATAATATTCCATGTTTTTTGTACATGGAATACCCGGAATACATGGTGTCATTTTTAAAATTTGTTTGTTCGGAATACCATTTCAAGTATTTCGTATGTAATTTCATTGATTAAAAAAAAACACAATTGCAAGTACTAATAAAAAAAGTTTATCGTTCCACGCATTACATAGTACGTACTGTTTTATTTTTGGATCTCTTTCGTTCGTGCCATTCTTTTCCTACGTTCGGCAAGAATCGAAATCTCGCCTCGGGCCGTATTCCAACGTGCTCCTGATCGGCAGAATTGTAATGGAGGACATGTGGCAACAACGTAACAAAATTCTCGATACGGTCCGGCAACTATTCCTTTCGTGTTACGAGATTACATTTACCGACTGATTTGTAGTTTCATCACAGACGAGATATAAGAATAGACCTAACGTGCAATGTAATTTTCTGTCCTATGCTTCGGGAGCGTCAGAAGCCTCCGTACCATTTCAGTATTTCAATCCTTGCTAGCGAAACCGGGGCAATAATGTATGTATGTATCGCATATATGCAGTCACGGGTATGTGTGTGCTGAGCGTCATCACGGTGTGAAACGTAGTTCCTGAAGTTGAAAACTTTTATGTGGAGTGCGTTCGAACCAGCGTGATTCTCGTGGGACACCAAGTTCCATAAAATGTTAGG